CTCAGTACAATAAATCAATTGATCCGGTGCTCGACACGTCTTCTTCCTTATCTATTCCTTCTTTATGTAAAGTTGTTTAGGAGTCATCTGATATGCATGCGCAGTAATGTGGAGATTAGCCAGATAATTTATTTCTGTAAATAAACTAGCATTCCATCTAGCCTAAAACTATCTTGCAGCGTTGAACGGACACTTGTGTACTTAAAAAAATTTACTTGAGAAACACCTACAGTAATTTAGGGATAAAAGTCAAGGGGAACTGCGCAAGGGTAGGGTATGTAGCCCCACTGGGAAAACTTAAGTTGCCCACTATCTACCTAATCCTAACCTGTAGCTAAATAGAGGCGACTGTAACGCTACTAGCGCTATTGAAGGTCAAAGTTCGCCTATTAAATACCCCCTTTCGTGACCTATTGGCAGGCAAGCCAAAGCGAACCACGCCCACTTAAATCAAACAAAAAGGCAGATTTTTGAATAATCCCATAAGGGGTTATATTCTTTTCGAGTATCATTTGAAGCGTTATGCGTATTTTAATTCCCAATTATAATAACAATTTATATAGTACGGTACTATTAAATAAATGGTGAAGAACAAACAATATATGTTAGGACGGCCAAGTCATAAGTCGGGCCATCCTGAGGACACGAGAACAAACGACTTGAACAGGCTACCGGTTCATGCAGAACCGGCAAAGAGAGCGACCTTCAGGCCGACACCCGAGGACGCAAGAACATTCACCGGCCCGGTTCTGAGGTCACGCATGGTAAGGGCCACAAAGGGACACATACACTGAGTGCGCGATTTGTCATCCTGCGGACACCCCATGATGGCTGCATGCAGAGGGGCCAATTGAGAACAAAGGCTGTTGGTCCCTAAATACGACGCCGCGAATAAAGGGCGCACTCTGTTGCCGAGACGCGCTACCGACGACCCGACATTCTGCTGAGGGGACAGAGGACAAGCTGCCGAGACGAGACCGACAACAGAAGACACGTTGCTGACGGACACACAGAAGACAACGCTGATGTACAAGCAGAACTAGTAACAGTAAAGTACTATCTGCTATCCTGTTCTGCCTTCTCTTCGTAACGCGCAACTGGGGGACGTAACCAGTGTTGGCACAGGAAGACACAAGGTTACAAGAGTGGCGACGCAGGTGAGATCAACCAAGGTTATAACAAGATATGAACCGCAACAGTGGATGCACGTAGTCACTAACAAAGGAGTCGACCAAATATAACGCCTGCCTCTAGACAAAGAAATAACGTGTGCTCGTTAATGTCACATGTGTGCAGGACGAAGCCAGAGCTAGTGTTGACTGCATCCAGCCAGGCCTGAGAGAGCGTGTGTGAATGAGAGAGGTGGCAGCTGCTTTTATATGACTTTGAAGCAAATTAAATTGATGTGCGTTTGGTGTGTTGCATTGCCCGTGGGGGTATCGCGTATAGAGGCCCATGCCTCGT